TGGAAACAACCTTTGAAGGAAAGTCGGGGAGGATGACCCTTTCTAAAATGCCAAGTTGAGAATCTCTGGTGTTTGACAAATAGAGGCTGCACAGAGATAGGCGCTTGTAAGGGACAGCGAGTAGACCGAGTGAAGTATTAACACACAGGGATGGTATGAGGGGATGCAGGTCAGTTGGGACCAGATGAAAATGGACTCTGAATGCTTTGAAACTAATTTTGGAAACATTCTCTAAGCAGTCAGGAGTCAGAGAAGATTTTTAATGGCAGAAAAATGGCAGTTATCTAAATCAAAATATAAATTTTATATCCAGATTTGTACATATTACAGCTATATACAAAATAAATTGTCATAGAAAACAAGCATGGAAAAGAACTCTCAAAATGTTCAATACTGGTTGTTTCTGTAGAAGAACTTTAGGTGACTTTTTCTTTTCTATTCTGCTTTTCCAAAAATTTCTGTATTTGTGATTGTGAGGCAAAAATAAATCATTATCATCACACCATTGTTTCATTGTGAAATCTGTCACATCCATGGCCTCATGCTGCCAGCTCTTTGTTTATTGAAAGGGTGAGTGTCCTAAGAACTTCCTCTTGTGAGAAAATATAAATGCTCACAAAGGCAGGAACTTCAAGGAAGCATCTGATCTTCAGCTTGGCCCTATCTTCCAACTTATTTTAGGATTGCTAAAGATTCACTCCAGTCAGTCCAATCCCCAGCAGGCGGTCCTGACCATCCCCAGCCAGCTCAAACCACTCAGTGTAAATACATCTGGAGGTGTGCAGACTATACTGATGCCCGTGAATAAAGGTAAGTCCTTCAGCAGGGCTGTCCTACTGTGGTTGTCTGCAGGTCTGTCGTGGGGGAAGTCCATGTTCTATCAGGTGGTGACTGCTCCCCCTTGCACAGCCTGCCTTTGGCTGTCACCTGTTCCCTGGCACCCTGAGCTCTAGAACAGCAGCGCCAACCGTTCGGACCTCGCGGGCCACCAGTGATCCGTGGACCACCGATCGGCGACCGCTATTTTAGAGCACCAACTCTAGGACTGACCATATAACCCAGGGGGCCCGTGGCTTCTAATAGCTGCCCATTTCTAAAGTTGAATAGAGGAGGAGCACTGTAAGCATTTATGAGACTTCATAAATGGATTTTTATTTTCTTAATGACAAACCCCCATTTCCACAGTTGATGGATATGACTCAGTTACCCTACTACTAATAGTAAACAGCCTGCCTTGTCAAAATCACTATTAAAAAGGACCTTCATTTCGGTTGCACTGTGATTGTCTTGTGCTATTAGTCTAAATTGGGCTCTCATCTGTTAGATCATCCTCATTATACAATAATTCCTATATTTCTTATATCCTCCCCTTCCCTTTCTTGCCTTTAGTGGTTCAGTCGTTTTCTGCCAACAAATCACCTACCATCCTGCCAGTAGCCGCCCCCACTGCAGTTGTCCCCAGCTCTGCTCCAGCAGCTGTTACAAAAGGTATGTAGTTTCTCACAGTATATCTGCCCTCAGGTTTTATGCAAGACATTAATGAGTCCCTTGGGTCTACAACCCAAATATTTTTCAGCATCTGTGGACCAGCCACCTCAAAAATGCTTACTGTTTACATGTAGACTTGACATTGAGGGAAGCATAGAGATGTAGCATCATTTCTGCCCTTCAAGAACGTGTAATCAATCATGTTGAAGAGAGCTGACTGAGAGATACTAAGTAATGAGTGATAAATGCAGGATAAATGGATTCTGGAATGTTTCAGTCTAGGACAGGGGTGGGCAACCTTTTTGTGAGTGCGTGCCAAAACCAGCAAAATCTCTGACTCAAAATTCTTCTGCGTGCCAATGATGACAGAGATTTTATATCAGGTTTATATTTCGTGCCCTTCAGAGATATGCACGAGCTACTACTTTCATCCATCAGGCTACTCCTCTTATGAGACTTAACAAAATTCATCACTGAGAACAAAGATTCATAAGCATATGTGAATGAAACCAAAACACTGGTCGGATCTAGGAAGGCAGGGAGAGTTAAGGCAGAGGCATAGAAATTGCTCTTCCCCTCTCTCGTCAATCCATGTCTATGGTCTTTAAGATAACTTGTTATGTAAAATTATTTATTTATCTAAGATGCACCTTTATCTGAAAATTAAAAAGTTGATATTAAGAAAAAAATTGTAAATGGAAGATTATAAGAGGGTTTCGCGTGCCAGCAAAAGTTACTGGCGTGCCATGTTTGGCACATGTGCCAGGGGTTGCCCACCCTTGGTCTAGGATGTCTGATCAGGGTTGGTGGGTGTGGAGGGGGATAGGACTTTGTATGGACATGGATTGTCGCCTGGATTTTAAAACAATGAAGACTTTGTAGCTGTGGAGAGTCAAGAGCATGCCGGACTAAGGGGACAGTAGAGACAGACCCACAAGACCCACGCTAACAGTCTTCCCTTGTCTGCTGACTGTGATGACAGGTGCCATCTCAGGCCCCCGCCGTGTCCCTACCACAGCTGCTGCGGCACTTCCCTCACTGGGTTTCCATGAAGGGCTTTTGTTTCTGCCTGCACGTGTCCTTCCATCATTGCTCCCTAACAGCTCTCTCTTTGTTGCTCTTCCCTTGTAGTGAAGACTGAACCAGAAACTCCTGGGCCAAGCTGCCTCACTCAGGAGGGTCAGACAGCAGTGAAAACAGAAGAGAGTTCTGAGCTGGGGAACTATGCTATTAAGTAATTATTTCTGTCCTTGCTAAGGGAGTTGTGCTCTGGATGTTTTTCTGAAACATTTAAAAAACCATGCCTGGGACAGTTGAGTGTGTGTAGAGTTGTGGGTGTGTTTTATTAAGCCCCTTGCCGGGTGGAGACCTGTCCGTGTGGTGATCAAGTATTGATGCACAGCTTCCGAGTCTCCATTTTACACATTGATGGGCCTGAGGCATCACCTTACCTGTTGTCTCCAGAGCCTCAGGTGGAATTACAGACCTCCCTCCAGCACTTGCCAGCATGTATATACTTTGCACATGATGTAATTACTCGGGTGTGTACACATTTTTTGTCCAAGTGCCCACATACCTGCCTAAATAACTGCCTTTTCATGGGCCATACACACTCATCCCATCTAAAAACACTTCATGCCCTGGCCGGTGTTGGTCAGTGGTTGGAGCATCAGCCCATGCACCAAAGAGTCGATTCTGTGTCAAGGGCACGTACCTGGGTTTGGCAGGTTTGGTCCCTGGCCCTGGTTGGGGCTTGTGGGGGAAGAGGCAACCAATCGATGTGTATCTCACATTGATGTTTCTCTTCCCTCTCTCCCCCCACCCCCAAAATCAATGAAAAAAATATCCTCAGGTGAGGATTAACACAAACCAAAAAAACTTCATACGATTTTCCAGTTTCCAAATTTGTGCCCATCTCTGACCACATATTTGGATGTATCTCAGGCTGCTGGGGACAGTAGACAATCAGCCGTTTTCACACGATAGTAGACAGTTTTTGAACTGGAATAACACTAAGGCAGGCATGTTTATTACAGGATTTTCTGCTCTAATGGCAGTCACCGTGCAAAAAGGTTCTGTGGCTGTTTACAAATATAAGTAAAAGAATGCCTACTATTTGCATAATTTGCCATTCCTGGGGTCTCATCTGTTTATTTAATCTGATGTTTTCTCTGTAAGTATAGAATGATCTCCTTTTATAAAGAAGGGTGTCTATGGAAGGAAAGACTGCCTGTATAATTAGTTTAAGTTTTAACTCCCTCAGAAAGGGGGAATAAGTATATAAATTTATGTGTATATATATGGCTAGAAACTGTAATACGCATTTACAACCTCAATTTTCTTTTCTCTTTCTCAGGATAGACCATTTAGAGACTATCCAGCAACTCTTAACGGCAGTAGTAAAGAAGATCCCATTAATCACTGCAAAAAGTAAGACACTTATACTAAGTATATGGGTGCATTTTTTAAAAGCTGTGAATACTTGGGATATTGAGTCAGCTTAATCACGTGTACTGTAATTCATACTGCAGTGGTCATCTCAGAGGTTTGGCTGCAGCTACAGCTCAGTTACGGGTTTCAGATTCACAGTATCTTGGCCAGCTAGCTAGTCTTTTACTGTCCTTAGTGTTTGACCCGCAAGAGGAATTTTTCACATTCTTTGTATATAAATCATTCATGTGTTAGGTATATCATTAAAGCTGCACTCGTTTTTAATATTTATTTATAAGGGAAGAAATTAACATTTGCCTACAGTGTGCCAGACTCTGCAGGCTCATTGCATTTACCGTCTTATTTAATCAGTCTCTTGTGGGATGTCATCTCTGTTTACAGACGAGAAAATCAAGGATGGTAAAATTAAGTAACTGCAGAAGGTCACTAGCTGTGGGTGGTGAAGTAGGCTACAGCCCCAGTTCTGTTTGACTCCAAGCTCTCTCATCCTCCCTCCTCCACTCACTGTCGCTGCGAAATGCATGATTGTCCGCCCTGTTGCTGCCATTGTTGGCCAGACTGAAGCTGGCTTCTCCGCACAGGTGTTCTGACAGTAGCAGCCCCTTCTGAGGGCAGGCTGCCTTTGATACTTGGGCAAGATCACCCTGAACATTTAGAGGGAAGGGATGGAGCACATGATCGTACTATATTCATGCAAGTATGAGAATGGTAGGCCGAGTACAGACTGCCCTGCTCATTTTACTCCCAATGGTAATAACAAAGGAAGTATCTTTTTTCCTTGGTTGAAGTTTAAGGGGTCATTTTGAGGCAGTTCAAAGAATACTTTCAATAACATGTTTCTAGCCCAGCAGAAAAAATCACTCAAAAATCTTTTTTTAAAAATTTAGGTACAAATGCCTCGGGGTATTAGAGCTGGAAGGCAGTTCAGAACTGTCTCTCCCAGCAGTCTCGTCCTCCAGATGAGAAAACTGGAGCCCAGGGAGGTGACGTCAGGTCCCCGCCCACGAAGTTAAGGGCACAGCCAGAGCCAGGTCTCGGGTCGTCTGGCTCCTAGAGGAGTTTTATTTCCACTTATTTTAAAAGCTTCAGCCAGTGGATTACCTTCCTCTACCAAAGAAGGTGCTGTTTTGAGTGCACAAGGAGATGCCTTCTCTTAAGGAGAAGCATCTGAACTTGCCCGGTAAGGAACATGCTTCAGTGAGGAAGTCTAAGGAAACTTTGGGACATGCTTCCAACAAATAAGGCTTGAATTAAATCACGGTTTTATTCAGAGTTTGCTGGATCTGTGCCTTCTAGGTGAAGATGCCAGCTGTTTTTCTGCCAAGTCTGTGCAGCAGTATTATGGCTGGAACATCGGAAAGAGGAGAGCCGCTGAGGTAACCCATGTCTACCGTGTGCATTCTGCCCGCTTCCATAAGGCTTGTCTTATGGACCAGTGATAAAATGTGAAGCATATTTTGGTGATAGAATCTTTTCCTCAGTTCCATATCTCGTTCTTCAAGACTTGTAGCTAGCCTTTGAAAGGTCCATTTTCTTTTTTTGCATTGGTAAACACTTTTACAAAATTCTTCAATGAATTTCAGTATATTAAAATTCAATCAAGTGTTTATTGAGTACCTCCAGTGTGGCAGCTACTATGCCAGACAGTGGGGTTATGAGGAAACAGGGTGTACAAAGGCATGCTTGGGAGCTATGAGAAGGTCATTGCAAAGGGTTTGGGGGAGGTTGGAGGAGAGGAAGTGGGAGATAATAGGTTGAGACCAGGTGAAACTCCTTGTAGGCCAACTTACACTGAGGAGAGCCATTTTATTTTATAAGCACTAGGTAAAAGTTCTTTCCCCCTTTTTTTAAATTGAGGGTTAACACAATCAGATTGTTTTCTTTAGAAAAAAATGATTCTAACAAGTTAGCGGGGTGATTTACAATTGGGTGATTTGTTTGAACACTACTAAGTTGAAGAATTTGGTTATGATTCCAAAAAAATTTTTTTAAGTGGCAAAGAGCAATGACAATGCGAAAGGTCTTACAAGAAATACTGGAGAAGAACTCAAGATTTCACCACCTGACGCCCCTGAAAACCAAGCACATTGCCCACTGGTGTCGCTGCCACGGCTACACCCCACCCGATCCCGAGAGCCTGAGGAGCGACGGGGACTCCATTGAGGACGTGCTGACGCAGATCGACAGCGAGCCAGGTCCGCCTCAGGGGAGCAGCCTGGGGCCTGTCCCTCGGCACACGCTCATCTCTTCCAGCCCCTGCAGTTTACTCGGGACTCCACGAGCTGCCGTGGAGAACAGGACCCTCTGCTCACTTCTGACCCTGTGACCCCGCCCTCCCCTAACACAGCCCCTGTAGAACTATTTATGCCCAAGTGCCGTGTCCCACCAGCAGTGTTGTCCCAGGTCATACAATAGGCACACTGTGTGTTCAGGCGTCTCCTCCTCAGCACCATTTCTTCTTGGAAGACTGTGCTAATACACCTCCTTTCTTCCAGGCAGAAGTGACTTCTTCCTTTGTGACCTTATAACCCTCCTAGACGGGTCCGATCTCCCTGAATCTGGGGACACTGCCTTATCTGTCACTTCATCTGCGTACTTGGCTAGGAAATGTACCACCCAGTGTTGGGAGGACGTACAGACGTAAACAACTAACAGTGTTGCAGATAAAATGAATTGTTTTATGATAAAAACATAAGCAGCTGTGTTGTTGTGGGGTGAGGGATCAGTGCCTAAAAGATATATTGGGAGAATATTTTGAGTTTCACCTTAAAGAGTAAGAAAGGTTGCCTGACTGGTGTGGCTCAGCGATTGAGTGTCAACCTATGAACCAGAAGGTCAGTTTATTCCCGGTCAGGGCACATGCCCCATCCCCAGTGGGAGGCATTCAGGAGGCAGCCAATCAGTGATTCTCTTTCATCATTGATGTTTCTATCTCTCCCTCTCTGAAATCAATAAATATATGTATATATATATATATATTTTTTTTTTTTAAGAATAGGAAGGGTTGTTTTCTCATCCAAACCCCATTTCTGTAGAAAAACAAGTTCTGTCTCCCCGTCTGAGGAAACCTGGAGCACAGGGAGGGTGGGGAGGGTCCTTTAAGACTTAGTGCAAGTCTTATTTCCCCCACGGAGCTTTCCCAAGACCCCAATGCAGGACGACCTCTCCCTGCCCTGATCTCCAGCAGCACTTAATACAGAGCCTGGGGGTTTGTCATATTTATGCAGCTAAGCTCTGGAGAGCAGAGACCACGTTGGTTACTTCTGTGCTTCACTGGTAGTAAATGTAAGGCATGATGCTCCACACATAATGGGATCCCCGTTAATATGACCGATTAATTGTGGGCGCCCAGTCAGTAAAGCAGAAGTAGCCAGGAGCAAAGTGCTCCTCCTCCATTCCGTGGCTGGTCTGACTCGCTCGTCCAGAGAGTGAGGGGGTGCGCTTGACCAGCGGTCGCCAACCTTTCGACCTCACAGACCACCAGAGGTCCACGGACCACCGGTTGGCAACCGCTGCACTGGAACATGCCTAGAGCCCCTGCCGGCTTGAAGTGCTAATGCTCTTTGTTAGGTTTTGTGTAAATCAGCTTATGAAAGACTGGGTGTGAGCTGTACCCAAAATGATAGCGGTGCTTCTCTCTGAGCAGTGAGAACATGGGTGATTTTCATTTTCTTCACTGCACATTTCTAAATTTTCCACATTTAAAAATATGAAAAAAATTAGTCATTAGTATTTGAGGGATGGGGAGATGGTCTAGTTTTGGGTGGTATGAGTCAGAATTACATACTGGCTGTGTCGTTTCAGGTGGCAGTGATATCGGCATACACCTAGCAGGGTGCCTTCTGCTTGTCTACCTCATGAGTTACTAGTTCTCATCATTACAGAGCCATCGCATTTTAGGGCCAGACGCTCAGTTCCCTTGATACTTACTCCTCTTCTCTGGGTCTCAGGCCCTTGGTCTTACCCAAGTGGCAAGTCCTTTTCTTTGGTCACCACAGCTGTTCTGAGACTATCTCCTCTCCTTTAGAGTGCCCGTCGTCATTCTCCTCTGCCGACAACCTGTGCCGGAAGCTGGAGGACCTCCAGCAGTTTCAGAAGAGAGAGCCGGAGAACGAGGAGGAGGTGGATGTCCTCAGCCTCTCAGAGCCGTTGCAGATAAACGTCAAAAAAGAACAGGAGGAGAAGCAGGAAGAAGTGAAATTCTACCTGCCACCAACACCAGGGGCTGAGTTTGTTGGCGACATCACACAGAAGGTAGGGGCTGCGGCTTGTGACGCTAGATCACAAACCAGATGCGAGATGCTTGGACATTCACCTGATAAACTCGGGCTGTGTTTCCCTTGGGCAACACAGAAGTTAATTACACGTGAAAAGGGTGCTTGCTGAGCGTGGAATTAAAGCAAAGGCAGTAGATGTTGTTATTTTCCATCTCCTTTTTTCTCATTTGCCTCAGTAGAAACACCTTTCTGTCGTGAGGGAGGCATATCATAATCTTTCCAAGTCAGACTTCAGAGGGTGAGCTTCCCCTTGCATTTCCATAGCCCCCGGTGCCCTGTCTGCGGTGCAGATGCACCTGATGACAAGGAGAGCAGTTGTCCCCTTTGAGAGCGCTCAGCAGCTGTCCAGCATCTGCACCTGCCGTTACTCAGGACCCACAGTGAAAGGCAGTGTGTTGTCACTTGCAGGAGGAAGTGAAAAACGCAGCCAGGTGCGGGAAGAGCTCAGGAGATTTATCTCAGTGCAGTGGCAGATGCAATGGCGTGAGCACACTCCACCTATACAAGCTTCCTCGGCACACCGGGAAGTGGCAGTGCCCGCCTGAGCAAACCTCCTAGCGCCCCTACATAGTACCCTGCTCTTTCCTACTATTGGCTGCCCTAAGGATTGTGTAAACTAAAAAGTTATATATGTTGCTGCACTTACACAATAAACTTAGATCTGCGTCACGGAACCTGGTCTCCGGAGTCGGGCATGCTTTGTTAGGGCTCCGTCGGCCTCACCCCCGTGGAACCCCCTGCTTCAGCCAGGCACTATTTCCAAGTATATCTACACCACCTTTTGCAAACAGCGCCTTAGTCTGAGTCCAGACTTCCCAGTGTTTTGATCCCACTATCGGGATTCATGGCAAATCCTGATCACGGTCTCCCATGAAGAGGTTGTGGGGGTAAATGTGGGGTTATAATAGCATTTTTTTTAAAAATATATTTTATTGATTTTTTTTTTTTTATATGGGAGAGAGAAAGAGAGAGAGAGAGAGTCAGAAACATCGATGAGAGAGAAACATCGATCAGCTGCCTCCTGCACATCTCTTTAAAATTCAGAGTGTTTGTTTTTTTTTTTTCAGCTTTTATACAACATGGATAAAAAAACAGTTTCATTCAACAGTGTTTTTTTTTTTTTTTTAATATATTTTATTGAGTTTTTACAGAGAGGAAAGGAGAGGGAGAGAGAGTAGAGAGTTAGAAACATCGATGAGAGAGAAACATCGATCAGCTGCCTCCTGCACAACTCCCACTGGGGATGTGCCCGCAACCCAGGTACATGCCCCCAACCGGAATCGAACCCGGGACCTTTCAGTCCGCAGGCCGACGCTCTATCCACTGAGCCAAACTGGTTTCGGCTTATAATAGCATTTTTAACCATCACTCAGAATCATGAGAAATAGGATATCTTTTCCAGCTGGACATCTCCTTGGGTATCAGAGAAATGTGCTCTGTTTAAAGAGGCTGTTCTCATGTGCAGATAGGAGCTAATGCTTCCTTTGGCTCTTCCAGATTGGGATCACCCTGCAGCCCGTGGCGCTTCACAGGAACGTGTATGCGTCGGTGGTGGAGGACATGATTCTAAAGGTGGGTGCCTGCTGGCAGCAGAGGGCAGCCAGGTGGGGCAGGCTGGACGGGTGGCAAGCTGTTGAGGGTAAGGGACAAGGACAAACAGAACAGAGATGGCCAGGTTTTCTTTTGTGTTTTGTTGTTAATCCTCACCCGAGGATATTTTTCCATTGGTTTTTAGAGAGAGTGGAAGGGATGAGGAGAGATGGAAAAAGAAACATTAATGTGAGACACACATCGATTGGTTGCCTCCCATATGCACCCTGGCCTGGGGCTGGGGATCGAGCCTGCCACTGAGGTACGAGGTACATGCCGGTGACTGGAATCAAACCTGGGACCCTTCGATCTATAGGCCAACTGAGCCACACCGGCGAGGCCCACAAGTTTTAAGATTTCTCACTGTATTCAGGCTTAAAGTTTTCTCTTTTTTGCCTTCGGACTTTGAAGTGAAGTATGGTTCTTCTAAGTGTAAACGCTTCTCCAATAAGAGTTGCTTTCCTGACGTCACTGTGATATTTTTAGTGTTACTTCAAGTGCTTTTTAAGGAGTTGGAGGTGAGAGTCGGTGCTCTCTCTGCTTCAGGAGGTGACAAAGGCAGTGCCTTGGGTTTCCTGCACAGATGACAACACAGCAGACAAGTAGCCCCACTCTCCAGCCCAGCCCGAGTTCAGCTGTTCCTTTCCTGGTGTCCTTCCCGCAGCAAAGGGTGCCAAGTAACCCTCCCCTTGTTTCCTTTAAAACAACTTCTGGTTGAGAATCACCCCATTCCACTTGGCGTCGTGGCTTCTGTCACTGTGGCCTACTCTGTGTGGTCTGTTATTTCCACTTTTACTTTTGCCTTGAGGACTTCTGACCCTTAGGCACAGTTGTTTCCAAGGCGTAGGGTACGGGCTGGGGTCAGATCTAGCCCTTCTTGCCTGAGAGCAGGTGGCCGATGCAAGAGTAACAGCATGTTCTGTTGCAGGCTACAGAGCAGCTGGTGAGTGACATCCTGAGGCAGGCGCTGGCGGTCGGATACCAGGCAGCATCCCACCACAGGTACCGTTCTCCCCGCAGCCTGTGGTGTCAGGCCTGCAGATACTTCCTGACGGTTCAGTTGCTCAGTAAGATGTTTTCTACTTAAGTCAGTCCAGGAGGAGATGGAGGTGTCCGTGCCTGGAACATTCTCAGAGGCAGATAGACTCCAGGTTCTAGTTGGTTATTTTGAGAAAACCTGTTGTTGGAAGCTCAGATTTGCCCAGAGTCTGCATCTGCCCAGGCACGGCTCTGTGGATACCGTTCAGGACTCTGCTATGCTCCAGGGTTGGACAATTACCAGCTCTTTGCAATTAAAGATAGTAACAGTGTCCATTATATGTCAGACGTTGGGGCCAGGCATCCATATATTACCTGATTTTTTTTTCATTGCAAAGCCCATAGTCCCCTTTTGGAAATTGGGAAACCTGGCTTTGTAAGGTGATCTTCCCTGGCTTTACCAACACATCCATGATAAACCTAGAGGCAGACCCAGAGCTCCCTGGCTGCGAAGCCCACTCACAGGCTCCCCGCTAGCTTGCTGCCGCTCTCATTATCATTGATTGGGACACTGAGTTTTGTTCTTTTCCTGGGCCCTTGTTCCACATCCTGGCATTCCTTTCAGAGGAAACAAGTATTTTATCTCATTGTGATAAAGTTGTAAGAGTGACTGCGGACAGACGTAAAGAGGCCTGTCAGAGGCCGAGGTCAGACTTCACGGGAGTGTGGCATCGGGCACAGAGGCGTTCTGGTGGTCCGCTTCTGTCCACTTGGAGTCCAGGAGCGGGCTGAGTGCCTTCTGGGCCCCTGCCCGCCCCCTGGCCTGATTGTGGAGATGGGGGGACTGGTGCTTTTGATGAGAACATTTGACATCACACGTGGCCCAGCAGGACTCCAGCTACCATCTTCCCAGGAGACAGGCACTGAGGCCCAGAGCCCTGGGTACTTTGACTCAGCTCTCAGTCCTCAGCATCTATTTCTTAATCATTCAACCAGCTTTTTGAAGTCCATCTCATACCTGTGGCTGGGAAGTCAGATTTGAGCCCTAAATAGGGCTGAATAAAGTGGGTAGGCCAAGTCTTCACCAAAGTTTTAAAAAATTAATAGGAAAGAAGAGAGAGAATGCCCCCGGCCACTCCCCAAGTGGCCCTAAGCCCGTGGTTGGCAAACTGGCTCGCGAGCCACATGCGGCTCTTTGGCCCCTTGAGTGTGGCTCTACCTAAGCCTTAGTAGAACCCTAATTAAGTTAATAACAATGTACCTACCTATATAGTTTAAGTTTAAACAATTTGGCTCTCAAAAGAAATTTCAGTCGTTGTACTGTTGGTATTCGGCTCTGTTGACTAATGAGTTTGCCGACCACTGGCCTAAGCCTGCCTTGTCACTTACCATTACCCCCACCAGGGCCTGTGCAGGAGATGGCCCTTTAGATAAACTAATAGATACTTGAGAGAATTGCACCTAACCGCCTTTGTTTTTTGGACCAGGATTCCCAAAGAAATTACCGTGACTAACATTCACCAGGCCATTTGCAACATTCCTTTTCTGGACTTCCTCACAAACAAACACATGGGGATACTGAATGAAGATCAGTGAGTGGAATGAAGACACCCCTGAACAAGCAGGATCTGTAGCTGCAGCCGAAGCTCTGCACTGTGATGACTCTTCTGTCGGGGGAAGGAGGTGTCCGTGCCTCAGAAGATCATGGTTAACGCACCGTTCCCTCCACCTCATTCAGTGAATCACCAGAGTGTGCAGTCCCAGGTCAGATCCAAAAGGTCACAGGTTTCCTGGTTCTGGGGTGAAGCTGTGGGTGCATGCTGTCAGCTTGCATCTGTCCACTCTCTGTAAAGCTCACTAGAGGGTCCAGAGCTGGGCCAGGCCTGTGTATCAGGTCCTTCTCCCCTTGGGGCATCCTCAAGGGGGAACCTTGGGCCTGACTCTCCCTCTAGGAGGAGAACATGAGTCTGGCAGGCTAGAGATTTCACCCATTCTGTGGGTGGGTTATAGGCAGCCCAATGGTTAACCTGGCAACACCTGAAGGACTAGGCTCAGCACTCAGCGAGTGGCCACAGTGTGGAGAATTGGCACTCGGCCCACGTGCATCGGTGACAGGATGCGGTAATGCTGTGTGTAAAACAAAGACCCGAAGGTTGCAGCCTGAGCAGAAGTCTTACTTTATGGAGCACGGGAGCATCACTACAGCCAGTCTGAGAGAGGAGGGATGGCCAAGTCACAGGCAAGGAACAGATACATTCCAGCATTGGTCTGGGAAGGTTCGAGTATAACCAGGAGCTCTTAATATGTTCATAATAGACAATGCCCACAAACGCCGGCTCCTGGCAGTCTCGCACAGCTTCGTGTGTGTGCCAGGCAGCAAGCTGGTGCCACAGATGTCGGGTCACCCAGGCTGCACCAGGCTGCACGGCCAGCGGGAGCAGCTCCTGCGACAGCCCCGCCAGGACTGTCTGTCCTGTCGGTGGATCCCATGTCCCCTTCTCAGTCAGGTTTTTTTGCAAGAAGGAAAGCTTCAGAGAAACACTTGTGAGTGCCTTAAAGGTGGAGAAATGACTGCAGAAGCCGAAAGACAGGGGAACCTGCTCAGCAATGAGAATAGATGGCCCATGAGCAGGTGGGAGGGAGAAGTGAGGAGGAAGGTGGCCCTGTACCTGGATGACGTCCAGTTCCACTGAAGGTCCGCTACCCAGGCCTCCTAACTGTCTGTGGAAGTAATGAGTTTATTCCCAGTCAGGAAGCTGCCGAAGACTATTTGAAACCTGTGAGTCAGAGTCAAAGGAACTTACCTCGGCAACATAACTCGTGTTGTCGTGAGTCCTGCAGACATTTGTCAGGAAAAGAAGGTGGGGAGGTGACACCATGAGAAACCCACCCACTTTTATTCATCTGAGGATTGCAAATGCAGGGGGAGGTCTGTTCAGTAAGGCAAGGGTGCCCCTGGCTTAGTGGTAAATCAGGTAGTAAAGGCTCAGCTAGTCACACACGGATGGGGTGTGGGCAAGTGCGTGGGTTCATTCAGCAGTGGAATGCGACAGCCACAGGACAGAGTTTCATCCCAGTGAGAACAGACGGACTACAGGGATGAAAGCCTAAAGAAATTACCTTTTTGAAAAAGAAATATTAAATGATTTAACAGCCCCCATATGTCTGTATTTGTATCATAATGTGTAATATAATTGTGTAACAGAAATACCTACAATAAATCTTTTAGTATTTGTGATGGGTTTTCTGAATTTGAATCACTACACTTTGGTCGAGTTCTTAAATTGCGCTAGAAAGAGCCAGGGTGGGGCAAAGATATAGGCATTTGTGTTAAATTCTCCCTCTTCTTTCCAAAAAAGAACATGAGGCTATCTGTGCGAGGAATAGGATAACAGCTACATGTCTGAAAAAATTTTGGAAGATCCATGTTGACACTGGACATACTGATTTCTGACAGCTTGAGGCAAAGGAAAGCTGCTGAGCTGAGCTCAGAGCCTCCTCACAGCCACGTGGAGCGGGACCAGCTCTGCCTGACGCACGGGCGTGGCTGGCAGGAGAGAACTGTCGGTACTGAGGTCTTGAAGAAGTTACTCCCGGGACAGTCCTGCATGGCCATCTGCTATCATGGTGGCTAAAGACTACAGAAATGCAGACACATTTCAGAATGACCGCTCTGTGTCCACCCTTCCTTCACAGGGAGGGGCTTTGTGACATCCAAGTGCAGAGCTTTCTTGGGACCAGACCTCACTGGTGCCGACCTTCAGGGAGCTGAGTGCCTGGAGGAAGGAGAACGGGGCACTGCTGGGCTCCCTGCGTGTTCTCTCAGCCGGAGACCCGACAGGCCGCACCGTGCTCAGGACCCTCTTGCTGGTGGAGGACGGCGTGGGCGGGCTGCAGGGCCCAGGCTTCCTCAGAGGCTGCTCTCGTAGTTTAGCCTAAAGTCCTGGCGTTACTAAATTCACAGGTGCGGAAGGATTAGTATTTGAGGCGGGTTTCTGAGTTCGAAGCACCACGGAGCAGGACTTGCTCTGAATGACCAGCTGAAAGGACCGCGGGGCTTCCCTCCATGGGGTCTCTGGGCTGCCTCCAGCTGGTGGAGGCGCTGCAGCAGGGCCAACCTTGCTTATGGAATCAGGAATATTGAACTCTTCCTTTTGGCTGACGTTAGCTAACAGATTGAACTGTTAGCTTTATTTTTAAAAACTGTTAGTTTTATTTTTAAAAACTTTTCTCTTTACAGAATTAATACAAAAGTGCTTATTATATAGAAACTTTAGTAAATATGAGTAAAAAATTTAATTACCCGTAAATCCACATCTTAAGGATATCTACCATTAGTATTCCAATGCATTTGTCACTGTATATTATATATGTGATTTGGGACCACATGGTTGAAACTGTTGTCTCAATTGCCTTTTTTTTTTTTTTAACTTTTTTTTAAAGTATATTTTTATTGATTTCAGGGGGGGAGAGAAACATTAATGATGAGAATCGTTGATCACCTGCCTCTTGCATGCCCCCTAATGCTTTCTGAGCCTGCAACCTGGGCATGTGCCCTGACTGGGAATTGAACCCTAACTTGGAGACACTCAACCACTGAGGCACACCAGCTGGGTCCGTGGCTTCTTAAGTCCACTCCAGTAAGACAATGTTAGGCCTTACTAAGACCTAGAGCCAGCGAGAGGAAGTTTCTTCGAACCCAGGTGTCCTTTTAATTAATGAAGTCTGGTTAGGAAGGTTGTCAGGTTGGGGCGTTTGAAAAGCCCTGTTCTAGTGCCATTCAAAAAGGTCTTTGGGCATGCAAGTATGCCAGCAAGAGACAGGCTCGGGGAGGGAAGGCATCGCCAGGTGTGCCGTGTGAAGGGCAGGTCTGAGTGGGAGGGACTGTGTCAGCATCGGGGGAGATGGAGCAAAGCTGCACATGAGAATAGAGCTGGCTCCCTGAGAAAGGGGTAGGCAAGAATTATTACAAAGCTGTACTCTGCTTACTGTCCTAAGCACCCTGCACATACACCCAGACTCCTAGCCAGGTCAGGGGGTTCGCCTCATTTTGCAGATGAGGAAACGGAAGCTTAAACTGCTCAGAGCTAGCGAATGGAGAAGTCGAGATCTGAGCCCAAAACTAGTTTCAAAGACAGTTGTTTACCTAGGCTCCTGGGAGGGGGGTACGTGGGGGAGCTAGGTGGCGGGAGGTTGGTGGGTTTTGTGAGGCCACATGCAACACCGGTGTGGACTGCCGCCCAGCGAGGGTTCTCGGACTCAGTGAGCCTCCAGGGCATCGGCTGCAGCCGGGAGACATTCAAGTGCTTGTTATCAAGAGGAGGATGAAGGAAATTGTAGGAGAAGGTGCTCGTTTATAATTAAAGAAATAAAAAATTGAAATAGTATATTTTTGCGTTTTAGTAAAATCTGAAACTCTCTCATTAATCTGTTCATTTCCCACAGAATGCCCTGCAGCAGTCTCTTTTAGCAACATCTAGTGTGCAAACCAATGAAGTCTGAAATAATAGAACCCTTTGTGTCAGCATATGGTTTTGGTTTTGCCTTTAAAATGATTCTCGGAGCATTTCCTTTGCTGAAATGAGGGGAAGGGCTGTCCTACCAGAGGTAGCACCTCTGAGGGGTCACTCCCTTTGCAGCCTGAGCTAAAACACAGCCCCACCTCCATGCCGAAGGGCTTCTAAGACCCAAATGTCACGTCTTGTGGCTGAAATAAGTGCTCCAGACTAGAGTCCCCCTCGGGCTGGAGAGAGAAAAGTCCAAAGGGAATCCTTGTGCCTCCGTACCAAATTGTCTAGGCTGTGCCTCCAGTCTTAAAGATGGGACATAGACGCCCTCAAGGGTTTGAAGGGCTGCTGTGCAAAGAGGGGACCAGGCTTGTTCCCCACAGATGCACTGGCTGGAATTTTAAAGGAACGAGTTTTCCAAAGACAAAATGAGCTGCCTCCTCAACAGGCAGTGAATTCCCTGTCACTGTGGCAGGGCAGGCTTGAGAATAAAGGCTGGTGTAGATGACGTTTAGGACTTTCAGAGAATGAAGCTAATACTGCAGTCTTCTTTTAAAAAAAGGAAAAAAAGCTCCCGGCCAGTGTGGTTCAGTGATTGAGCATCTACCTAAGAACCAGGAGGTCACAGTTCAATTCCCAGTCAGGGCACATGCCCAGTAGGGGGCATGCAGGAGGCAGCCGATCAATGATGCTCATCATTAATGTAACTCCCTCCCTCTCTCTGAAATCAATACAAATATATATCTTTAAAATAACATTAAATTAGAATTTTTTTAAAAAGCTCCCAACCATGGCTCACTTGGTTAGAGCATCATCCCAATATACCAAGGCTGAAGGTTCGATCCCTAGTCAGGGCAGATACAAGAAATAGCCAGTGAACGCATGAATGGGGTAGAACAGCAAAGCGCTATTTCTCCCTTCCTCTCTCGAAAATCCGTAAATAAAATTTGAAAATTACAAAAGAAAGAAGAGCTCTTAATTCTTAGCCAGCGTGGATGGTAGTTCCCTTCTAGTTATCAGTACATTAAGGGAGAAGCTGGAATTAGTAAGAAAATGTGGGCTCAGACACCTTCCACAAGGTAAATGGCATTCATTCATTCAAAACTTCAAGCACGCATTCGGAGAAATTCTTTGTTAAAAACATAAGGGTCACCCAAGCGGGTTTGGCTCAATGGATAGAGCATTGGCCTGCGGACTAAATTGAACCTGCAGAGTCCCAGGTTCAATTCCAGTCAAGGGCACATGCCTGGGTTGTGGGCTCAGTCCTCAGTAGGGGGTGTGCAGGAGGAAGCCAATCAATGTTCTCTCTCATCATTGATGTTTCTATCTCTCTTTCTCCCTCTCTCTTCCTGTCTGAAATCAACAACAACAAGGGTCATCTTGGCCATAAAGAAACTATGTCTTTAAAATTGAAACCCTGTGATTGATCTTCTGTGTGTTTTTTTGGCAACTTCTTGCTGGTAATTATGGATCACATGCAGGTGATAACCTAAGGTTTCTTCTACAGCTTGAACATGTGGGACCTTTTGTAGGAACAGCCAAGAACGTTACCTTGGTTACCGCAGGCTGTAGGTTACCATGCAGCCAGGAAAACAGCGGGCATGACTGGCTCTTTCAGGGACCTGCTGTCCACATGCCTCAGCGCCCCTGGGCCAGTTCAGTTCACAACAGAATTCATCCTTGAGTTCTTCCGGTTTAAAAATAAGGGCGGCCCAAATGGGCAATTAAAAGATCGGGAGCCTTCGCACGCTTCCCGAGGATGGCCGAGGTCCAGAGTTGGGCTGAGTGGCGCCATGTCCTTCTGTGCCAGGCCTGCAGCCCGGTGGCAGCTGGGGTAGTGCACACCCAGGGTGAGAAGGCAGGAGCAGTCCTCCTCTGTCAGCAGAGGGCTGTCGGTCCCAGATCTCACCCGTTTCCAGCCCGCTGGCTCTCTGCTCAGTGGGAGTCACACGTTGAGGATCCGGGGAGCCGGAGCCTGGAAGATGGCTGAGGCGTTAGGAGTGAACGTCTTCCTCACCTCAGGGACCTGAAACACGAGAGGTGGCACAGATCAGTGGGCCTCTCCCTCCACTTCCCCTCCCCCGGCTCCGGAAACAGTTGCTCCTCTGGGCCCCCCTTTGTCCTCTGTGAGTTGAAGCTACTAACCTGAAGGGCCATCGGGGGAACCTCCACAGTGGGCAGGGTCACTGCACAGTAGGTCAGATAGGGCACATGACCCATCCTGCTCCCTGAAGCCGCCTCCGGGTGCAATCGGGAGCTGAACAGTCCCCACCTCCCATCTCCACGCGAATGCCTGTCACTACTGCTTGGCGGTCAAAGGTAAGACTGGGGCTTCGGCGGGAAAGACACCTGCTCACCAGAGAAGCCAGCACTGGGACACCACCTGGCCAATGCAAAAGACCTTGGGTTTCTGTTTAGACACTGCTGCCCCAGCCATAAGGCCATTTACACCCTGCAATCCGACCCCTAGTCCCTAATCTGCGGGGGATGGGGAAGGAGAAAGGCCTGTCCCACAGGCCCTGCAGCACCAGCTCAGCCTGACCTGGAAGCCGGCCCCAGGGCCACCGGCCCATCCCGAGCTGTGGGCTGTGATCACCGTGGTCGGTTTCGCCTTTGTGGATCTTGCCGGCTTGACTCCAGTCCAGGCCTGGAATTCCTGCCTGGGACAGAGACCAGAGTCACAACCTCACAGTCAGCCGCCTCCCCCTGCTCCTGCAGGGCCACTGCCCGGCCACGCCCACTGCTGAGATGCTGCTTCGGCTCAGGCTCCTCCGGCTCCGGGGCTCCTCCCTCACAAAAACTAGTTGTAGTTGCAAAGGACGTGTGCTGCCCGGGCACAGCCGCTTCCTGGAGGAAGCGTATCTAGCTGTGCCCTTCACTTCTGAGTCTCCACCTGCACCGTGAAGTTGCTCACCTGACCCCCCAAGGAAGTAGCAGCAGATGAGCAGCTGGCTTGGCTGCGCAGAGAGTTAGGAAAGAACTGTTGGCACTTGCGTCTTATTCGTCCCAAACTGCAAACACCTGGTGTGTGCTGGGCCTAGGAGACAGCCAAGCCCAGCCCTTCCCTCCAGTGCTCCCTGCATTGTCTCTGGGACGCCTCAGGGGCCCCGAGCCAGAGAAGGTGCCCACGTGCAGCACAGGTCACTGAGGACCCCGTGCCCAGCACAGCAAAGTCCTCCGCCCCTGGTTGCGAGTGAGAAGGAAAATAAGGCTCAATGTTGCTTCTAGTTTTTAACCATTTGTCTTAACTCGTGCAAAAGAAAATAATCATAGTGACCATCACAAACCCTACAAGGTGGCCTGGCTCTTGTGCACGGCTCTGCACACAAGCATGGGTGCGGGGAGGGGAGGTGGCAGGCAGCCGGGAAAGCCAGCTCCCTGGAGGGAGGTGGCAAGTGACGGGCTGCCACCGCCTCCCTCCATGTCCTTGGAGTAGCGTTCTTTAGATGAAGACATAATTCCTCTGAGCAGAAAAGGCCTATTTTAATTACATCCACACCACTAGCCGGTGAGCTCAGGAAGGCAGAGCCCTGCCGTGTCCACAGGAGCACCTGGCCTGCGGAGGCTGTATTTGGTGGAAGGGGTCCAGCTGGCTGGGCAGCACCACGTGTGGGCTGGATCCACTCCCGTCTCATCCCACCCACAGCCCTGGCCTGGTTTCAGGCCCTGCAGTCAACAAAGCTGCCTCTTGTTGGCAGCGGTGCAGCTGGGCCGCATGTGCAGGGAGCAGCCGGGTCTGTCAGGGGTCAGCACTCGGATGCCAGGAGGCGAGCGGGCCAGGGCCCTATCGGGTCAGTTTTGCCTTTGAAGCTGCAGGGTTCCCGAGACCGGCTGCCTGAGCCATCTGCTGCTCTGTTTCTCCTGGGGGGCAGGTCCTCCCCTGGGCAAGCCCGTCTGTCCCCAAACTGAGATGGGCCTGGGGTAGTGATGGCGAACCTTTTGAGCTCGGCGTGTCAGCATTTTGAAAAACCCTAACTTAACTCTGGTGCCGTGTCACCTATAGAAATTTTTTGATATTTGCAACCATAGTAAAACAAAGACATATTTTTGATATTTATTTTATATATTTAAATGCCATTTAACAAAGAAAAATCAACCAAAAAAATGAGTTCGCGTGTCACCTCTGACACGCAGGTCATAGGTTCGCCATCACTGCCCTAGGGAATAGCCTGTGGGGTACACATTTGGTCTCTGAGGAGAGACACACGGTGCCACTGCCTGCTCCTTGGGCCTGTGCCAGCTGCTCGACAAGACGGAGCTGATTGCAGAGGTTCCTGTGAGGCCTTGGGGAGAGAACCGGAGGAAGTCCTGAGCCTGGTGCCCAGGACGTGCTACGCAGAGTGGCAGCTAGTGCCTGACGTGTCACTGGAGCGGGGAGGACCCAGCGGGACGTTCAGACCTGCCATCTGCTCACCATGGAGGAGGGACCGCTTCTAAAGCCCAGCCTCCAAACATCCAGCGAGGAGGAGCCAGTACCACACGAGGCAGCTGCTCTCTGCCCGTCAGTTCTGACTTGGAAAGTGCTCCTTGCCCTGAGCCGAGCTGCTCCCTGCCATCACCCCATCCTGCTGCTGGCCCCCAGAACATCAGCCGCGTGAAGGCGCTGCACACCCGCCGCTTGAAGGCGCTGCACACCCAGGACCGCTGCCCTCCCAGACCTCCTCCTGGCTCAGGCCCCAGAGTGCAGTCAGGATCCACCACCTCCTTCCCTGCCCGGACTCCCACACGCGGAGAACAGGAGTCCATGAACACAGACCACCCGCTAACAATCACTCCCCATCGAGCTCTTAAAAACTGCAGGCCCGTGAAGGCGGTGGAAGGTTCTACATGTCTTGATAATGGTGGTGGTGCCCAGGCTTCTACCAGTCATCCATTTACAGTGGATGTATTTCACTGTATGGAAATTATACCTCAGTTGATTCGAGCCCCAGCCGGTTTGGCTCAGTAGACAGAGCATTGGCCTGCGGACGGGCCAAAAGGTCCCGGGGTTTGATTCCAGTCAAGGGCAGTACCTCCGTTGCTGGCTCCTCCCCGGCCTAGGCCCTGGTCAGGGCTCATGCAGGAGGCAACCAATTAATAGGTTCCTCTCACATCGCTATTTCTTTCCCTCTCTCTTCCACTCTCTTTAAAAATAATAAATGAAAAAATATCCTCGGGTGAGGATTAAAGAAAAAAAAAATACAGTTGATTCGAAAATAAAACTGACGTGGAAAGTTTATACCTCTTTGCTCCTTTAATACCACAAGTAGGAATTTATACTAAAGAAATTATTATAGGAACAAAGATTTAGCTATAAGGACGCTTATAATAGAAGTGTTTTTTCCCCTCTAACATTTTTAAAAAATATATTTTATTGATTTTAGAGAGGAAGGGAGAGGGACAGAAACATCAATGATGAGAGAGAATCATTGATCAGCTGCCTCCTGCATGTCCCCCACTGGGGATCAAGCCCACAACCCAGGCATGTGCCCTTGGCGGGAATGGAACCTGGGACCCTTCAGTCTGCAGGCTGACGCTCTATCCACTGAGCCAAACCAGCCAGGGCTTCCCTCTAAACTTTTATTTATTTATTTTTGGTTACTCCTCACCCGAGGATATGTTTTCCATTGATTTTTTTACAGAGCGTGGGAGGGAGAGAGGAAGGTGGTGAGCGTCAGAAACATCCCTGTGAGAGACACATGGATTGGTTGCATCCCCCACCGCCCGACTGAGGTCAAGGATCAAATCTGCAACCGAGGTATGTGCCCTAGACCTGGAATCAAACCCTCGGTCTTTGGGTGCGCGGCCGGCCGACCGGCCAAGGCAAAATATTGTTTGCTTTAAAAAGGTAACACCTGGGCGCTTTTTCTTTTTAAAGCAACAGTGTGAGACAGAGTATCGTGCAAAGTCTGTCCTTCCTCGCTAGCATGATCCACCCTCCCTCTCCTCCCCCGCACCCCCGCACAGGTTACCACCCATCAGCGATCTCCTTGCTTGTGTGTGTACATCATCACCCCTTTTGAAAACGGAGTAGCAGGCATGCTGTTTGCATCTTGCTGGTTTGACCTGGGCCTATTGAGGAGCTTCTGTTATCAGTACCTTCTCGGCTCCCAGTGGCCCATCCTTTGGCGGAGCTGCAACTATCCAGCCCCTCCGCGGGACAGCGGGTTGTTTCCACCTTCGGCTGTACAATGTTGCAACGGACCTTATATTCCTTAGCTCCCCTCCCCCCCTCCCCCTCCAGGGCAATTCCTGGGAGCGAAGTAACTGCTCAAAGGGGCAGTGTTTTTAACAGCCCAGCTGCTTGGGCCTCACCCCCAACCCCCCGGAGCGCAGGGGCCAGAGGGAGCTGAGGCAGTCCGCCTGCGCGCACCCCTCCTGAGGCCGGGCCCACCTGGTGGGAGTTAAAGGGAAGCAGATTTACCTCCAAGGCAGGCTTTCTGACGGCGCAGCCCGAGATGGGTGCGGGGCTGGAGGCGAGGTAGTGAGCTCTCCGTCGGCGGAGGTATTCGCTCATTCACTCTGAGGCGGGTCGGGGAGCAGCGAAGAGACCCCTGCCGCGCCGGGGGGGCCAAAGGGAATGATCTTC